GATTCTTCATTACTGTTATTCTTTACCTAAGGTTGTATACAGAATAGGTTTCCTTCATAATAATCATCATTGTCATCATCATCATCATCATTATCATTAACACCACTGGGAAATAAGTAAAAGTCATTCAGTTGGTTGGTTGACTGGTCAGTCCAAAACTCGCTGGGATCTTCAATCTTGGATTACCATGGATACTTATAGCCCCCAATGGATGATTTTTAATGAGTTTAGTGATGCCCAAAACTGTAGCCTGTTGCCATCAGGTTGGAATTTTCCTTTGACTTACACTTAGCTTCATTACTTGGTATCTTCAAATTTTATGACATTTGGGGTAGAAAATTGTGTCCAAATGCTAATATAACCAGGAAGATAACGGTGATAATGATCAAACAAAACAAACAAAAAACAAAAAATAAGTTAATACTAAAAAAATAATAATAAATACAGTAAGTCTGTCACTTTAATCCAGACTGAAATATCTGTTGGAAGGACTGACACGAAACAGACATTCGTGATTCCATCAGGATGAATTGTCATCACTGTGGTGATTCTTTAAAGCCACTGGGAACCCAAATCCACAATAGCCTTCTAACTATATCATTTAGGGTCTGTACATAATAATCAGCATGTAAAAAGTAAAAAAATAGTTTCAATCTAAATTTGAAATATTACAATTTAAGCTTTGTTAACTTTACTCATATTGGGTTTGAACTGGGCGTGGTTATCCTCAAACATTTATAACAAAAACTAAGCAAAAAATTCCTTGAACCAAAAAAAAAGTTGTCCCACCTCATTCCACTGTTACAACAATCATCAACTCTTGCATGGTTAATACAAATCCGAAACCCAGAGAGAAATATTGTGGTTCTGCAACTGGTTTCCCCGCTGGCTCTCTCTGCTGAACAGTTAACAGCTAAATTAGCACTTTTTCAAACCCAGTTTTATAATAATCATGAACGTTTATTTTCACTCAGATTTTGTGGATGCTTAATGAGACATTCAACTTTGACTTCAGATGTGCATCTTTTTCTTTTTTGCATCTATTTTAAGCCACGTTTTAAGAGGCTCTGGCTATTCTAGTGCCATAATAAACACTGCATGTAACACACATGATAAAATACATATTATCATGTAAGCCATTCATTTCAGTTTACACAATATATTTATAATCTATCTTGCAAATTTAAAGGTGGCTAAACTGGCTACGTCCCTCTCCACTCCAGACCAGTATGAGAAGGAGTGTTTGGAGGAGGAGAAAGAGGAGGAGGTTGACAATGACTGAAGATGACAGCTAATGGCGTGAAGACTGTAAGGGCAGCCAGTGTGTCTAAATAACCAGGTGCTGCGATTTAGTTTCTGCCTGGTTAAACAGTGGAATAATTGGTCAAGTTAGCCAGTAATTAGATCGGCTCTGCCACGTTGCGTCTGAGAGCCCAGCGACGGCACCGCCATGCTAATTGGGCTATTTATACCGTAACACATTGACCAGGCTCACTGGCTTCCCTTCCAATTCGCTTTTCAGCACTTGTTTATTTTTTCCGTGTGTACTCAGGACACAGTGCTGGACTCGCCGCCCTCCTCCTCCTCCTCCTCC